GGGGGGGGGGCTGCAAATGTAATCAGGTCTCCATGCACAGTAGTCTTAACCTTGCCCATAGCGTTTCCTTATAGCCATAACACAGTTGTTCTGACAAAGGTGACATGAAGATGATTTACTCGCTCGAAGGTGTCAATAGACATGTCATTCTCAAAGAAGACAAAGAAGTGGTGAACTATGCAAACATTGACGGTGTAGTTATTGTTAAGGTGTGTTCATTTCTAGTTAACCGTCACTGATCGAACCAAATTATGTAAAATAAGGATTACTGCAATTATTAGTATTAACAAAACAGTAAATAATTAGATAACAGATCATTAGTAATGCCGTTCGAGCTCTGAAACCAAAAATCAAGCAGAAGTCTCTGATCTTCTATAGAAGTCAAATATGTCATTTTTGCTGATTCAGGTCAAAATAATTAAAAGCTGAAAGAATGCAGTGCAGAAGTTGATGCAGCCTTATAATCCTGTTACTGTACCAAAAGGAAATGACATACCTGGTTTACCAAACTGTGGCCTGACGCTCATCATGACAGTGCTTTTAAATACCACAGATTGCATTTCAATATAGTGCTGATGAGATAAAATGATATTTTGCTTTTGATTACTAATCGTTCATAAAAAAAATGTGCATTTTGTCAAAGCTGTGTCTTTAGTGTTAGCACTGATAGCTTGTCTATGGCGAGACAGGGTCTACAAAATGTGAAGGTCTTTCATTCGCCACAGCTTCAACACACCCCTCTTGTAACTTAAGATGATTCCAATGCTTTTTATTTATTAAAACAAATATAACAAGTGTTTATTGCTTACAAATACCTGGAATGATTACCTAAATATTTGCTCTAATGATTGAATAATATTTTCCACAGCATTGTTTTGTAAAGTAGCTCATTTAAAAAAAAAAGTGCTGTTTTCGTTCAGCCCAGAAACCTCAAAGCATGTTGTGTGATCATGAGCATTGTGAGAGGAAGACTGGTATAGAGCTGTATGTTCATTCTACTCAAGCCATATTAACACATAGCACACATCGGTGATACAGTGCCATTCTCTGTAACTGTTGCTCATACTGTATTGTGGCTACTATCTCAATACACTGTGACGAAATAAATCAGTGCCTAAAAACGGTTCCAATGGTTTTACATGACTGGATGTTGAAGCGGGAAAACCTCACTAATGTTTATCATGTGAGAAACTGTCAGTCAGTATTAACCATGTTTTTTCAATCAGTATTTCATAGCCTGCCACTGAATTCGTGTATTTATTCCAGTCACACAATTACTTTTAGCCATGCTTCTTGTGATAGTTAACAACTTGTTGTTTATGCAATTGAATATTTTGTTGATGATATTCCTTATATAAAATTGTTTATCTATTTTCTTTTAAACTTGTCCTGTCCAGCAGTTTTAGCAAGAACACTTCTGGACTTTGTGTCATACACATTTGCTTTGCCAAGAGGAGCGCTATAGACTCTGGGTTCCTCTTGTTAATCTTATTTTATCTTGTTATTCACATTATTATCTCAAAGTCTTATTATGCCAAAGGTGACGGGTGGTGAGGGCCAGAATAAAAGTCAGGATCTATACAAAAGTCTTTGCTCCGTTAACCTGACTTCAGCCCAGGAAGCCTTAAGCATTGGTTTTCGTCTTTACCTGTTCTGGCTCAACTGGGTCCTTCTCTGCAGTTCACTGTGGAGGTCGATGCTTCAGGTTCTGGGGTAGATGCAGTGTTGTCCCAGAGAATGATTGATAAAATGCAGCCCTGTGCTTTCTTTTCTCATCGCCTGTTTCCCACAGAACACAGTTATAATGTGGGGGACCAAGACCTAGGCTTCTCCACTTCCTTGTCGGTTGCTCACCTGTAAGAGATCAGCTGATTAGCTCACCCGTTGCTCATCAGGTTATTATTCTGGCCTCTTAAGACTGAAGCAAACAGTCAGTCATCATCATATCATTGTGTCAGGCCTCAGTCATGTAGGGTTTGCTTGATTTCTGCCAGTCTAGTACTGGAATTAACCTGTTTCTGTGTATACTTCTCAGCATTTTCTGATCCCTGTAAGCTTTTGTGACTGATTGCATGTCTTTGGACAACCTGTAAAATCTTTGTCATCTCTCTGATGATGTCACAGCATCACAGACAATGATTTTCTTTGTCCACTTAGTCTATAAATAAACAGGTCCATCATTCTGTTGGTTTCTTGACAAGTTCAGGTGGTTGAGGTGTTTTGGAAATATAAACCCTGGAAGAAGCTCAAGAAATGCTGGAGAGATTATGTGTCATGGTTCACATAATCTCTCCAGCATCTCTCAGTGTCTCACCAGAAGAAGTGGAGAAGATGACTTTGAGGAGGGAGGTCTGGGCATCTCTGCTTAGAATGCTCATCCCGCAACCCTGAGCCAGCTTTGACAAGTCAGACAAAGCAACAGCATCAAACTGACCAGCAATGGCAGCAGTGTCTTGCTGGAAAAGCTTCTCAAAGGACTGCCACATTAACGGCTCCAGTGAGAGAAATTTAATTCAGTTCAAATAATGCCAAATCAGCTACTTATTGGAAGGTTGGTGGTTCAATCCTTGGCTTCCCCAGCCTGCATGCCAAATATCCTGGGGCAAGATACGAACCCCAAGTTGCCGTCCGATGCGTTCATCGGAGTGTGAATGTTGGTTAGTTTGCACTTGAGTTTAGAAGTGATGTGAGTGGGTGTGAAAGGGTGTATGAGGCATGTTGCGCTTTGAGAAGTCCACATTGTAAAAACTGTGATTGGGGTTAATTAGAATCTAATAGGAGAGTAATAGTAATTATTACTCAGTAAAAACGTGTATGAGTAGTTTTAATCAAATCTAAGCAAAATTCAACAATTTTGAGATGTTCAGTTATTTAAATTTACACAGTTTTGTTTGGGGTAAATTCAGCAATGGTTTGTTGAGTAGA